AGTTTCAAGTTGGTTCAAGTCAAGCTCTTACCTTACCGTAAACACTAACAAGAAATTAAAATTGCAGCTGTAATTCTTTTGTGTTATTTGCCCTTCTTTGTATTGATATACGAATGTTGTTGCCTCTTGTTCCTAATAGCTTTTAGATTCGTTAACTTTCTATATAATATGTTTTATTCTTTTATACTTGCATCGGTGGGAATCTCATATATGATCCGATTTGCAGACTTTTGCTCCATATTTATTTGTTGGTACTTGCATCGATTTTTAATCATTTATTGCTGGATTTTGGGTACATAGATTATGGAAAAAAAGTTTATTTCTGTATGAATATAATTGCTTTCAATTTCGTAACTTTCATTTAAATGCATTTTCCTTCCATTCTTTTCGGTCAACATTCACTGATATTGTTTGGTTTGGGTTTTGACACTGCTGGATTTGACACTGCTCTTGCAGCAGCTAGGTGAGTTTTTAATTCCAAAATTCTATATTTTTCAAATTGCGAATTAGTTTGAGGAAACTATTAATTGATAAATTTATCTATTTTGCGTGGCATCATAGCTAACGACAAAGTTGCAATAAAGTTCCAGGTAGTTGACCACTAATTTCAACTTTAACCTCAAAGACTGAGGAAGAAATGAAACAAGTGAGAGGCTATTCAATTTTATTTGTCAAAATTGTTCGCCGGTCATGTTGAGAAACATATCCTTTTCGGTTGATTTTTCTTAGGTCGAGTCCTAATTTCCAGGATGGGCTGAAAAAATTCACGACCTAATCGTGCCGGCCAATGGAGCCCACCACGTTCAGGTTCTGCAGGAGCACATCGGTGTTGCCGGACAAATTATCCCCAGGAACTTTCCGCCTCTATCCCCACATTTAATAGGAAAAGAGTCCTGAACTATTTCTAAGTTAATGATCTTGAAAGTTTTTCTCAGTCTGATTAATTATTTATTGTTATTTTCATTCGACTGGTTCTTCAAGAGTTTGCAAACACTATCACAGTCCTTTGACACAACAAGTTTTTCCATACACGTTGAAATGCTAGAGTACTAATATGTAAATATTGCCATGCAGTTTTACAGCCACTTTGCTTGCATCTACTTCTGTTGCCTTTGGTGTTACTGGGTTGCGTCGAAATGGACAGATCACTTTGAATTAGTTTATGTCACAACTCTGTTACTTTGCATTCTCTGGGTTCTGATTTACTTGAACGTTTGTTCATATGCTTTTGCTGCCAACTCAGCTCACTTGAGTATGAGGTTTGGGCTTGAACTTAGTTAATTATTGTCGAGATTAGTTTCTTTCAAAGTACTGTTTCTGTTAGCTAAATCAACACAATTATGCATGTGATGATACCCCTGATATTTTGCTTAGCTCCTAAATGAAACCATTGAGGGTACAAATTAACTTGAAACAGTTCGTGGTAGGGAGGGGCAGCGAGACCACGTTTGTCGACGCCTTCGAGATGCAGGAAGCCATAATCCAATACCTCGGGGATGTTGATACTACTTGCGAGGTTTGTTGCAGTTTGAATTTGTCATATGGTATTTCGGTTTGATACTAATTGAGAATACTAATTTGTTATTTGGTATATCGGTTTGATACATATTTGTTATTTGGAAGTTTTGCAAGTTTGCCAGAATTCTAATCTAGAGTCACAAATTTCAGAAGTGTTGTGATGTATTGTTAATGTATACTGGACACCTCCTGACTCACAAATATTTTCTTTGCTGCATAATTTATCTCTCATATGCAGGGTGGAGCCCTATTGAATGTAATTGATAACTTAGTGCTAATCGGTGAATATGAAAATAATCTGGAAAAGTTTGGCCACACTCTGAAAAAGTAGTTTCTACAGTCATGTAAACCAATTGCTTAGTTGTAGCTAATTTGAGGACCTCTGTTTCTGGTACATGTTTCTAAAATATCTCTGTGTTCGCCTACTTTTGTTGGCAAATGAGCACCTCTGTTTCTGGTACATGTTTCTAATATATGCTTTTTTGTATGTGGTTATTTTTGTTCAACTGGTATATCTTGGGTATATAGAAATGTTTTCTTCGTCCGAGTGAATTTCTGGATGGAGTAGTGGAAATGAGAGTACGATTGTGAATGCTGATACTTGAAGCTTTCATAATATAGAGTTAAACAAATTAAAATAAGACAATTTTGTAGATTGTGAAAAATATCCACTTTACTACTGATTGGATTAAAAGTTAAATAGTTAAGCTCATGCTCTACTGTAAATCTAAACCAGCATATTGCATATTGATATACACACTCATTGTTCTCTCTTCACTTCAATTTAAATTTGCTGACCTATTACTGTCGAGTTCTACACTGGGTAGTGTTTTGACTCCTGATAAATGCTTGTTATAGTTTAAGGTTTAGGTTGTGATGGACAAGGAAAAATTTGCATTGTAAGATCTTTTGGATGAAGAAATAATCATTCAAGAATGCAAAGCATTAAAAACCGCCTTGTAAGTTTGTACTCCTTGCTTAGTTACTTACCTCATTTGACATCCTGTGCGGTAATATTATTCAGTTCCACTTTTTGATAGAATCACGAACTTTTGGTTCTCCCATTTTACTTGAGAATTGATTAGGTTGGTTTTAGTTTGAGAGATTGAGCTCAAGTCGAGCAACTGCTGCATTATATTGTTGATGACCCTTTCGAGGATGCAGATAGCAAAAGAACCTTCAAGTATGTCGTTATCGTTTCAATACCTATTGTACCTAAATATTCAAATTTAGTCATGTAAGATTAAAACAACAACCTTCATTCTTTATCTTTTGAGGTCTGAGGTCTGAGTGAAGAAACTTGAATTGTATTTAATAGTTACGTCTTATGTATGAAAAAAACTTGAATTGTATTCAATCTTCTTTCTAGGTGTCTATATACATGTGTGTAAATTAATGCTGAAATCATGTGGGTGCACATCGAACTTTCTGTTATGTTCATCATACTGGATGCATGAAGTTTTGCAACAATGTTCATTATTCACACAGGACGAACATTTCTTTTTCTCTATCTTATAAGAAAACCACGAGAGGCCTTTATTTACTGCAATGTGGAACATTGATAAGCCTCATTTTTCACGAAACGCTGTCAGGAAAGCAAAAAACTGAAAGCAAAAAGACACCGTTCATGTTAATCGATATATCGTGCAGACTAGGAAAGCAAAAAATTGAAAGCAAAAAGACACTGCTTCTTGTTAATCGATATATCGTGCAGACTAAGAAAGCAAAAATATGTTGCGGCTTTTCCGTTATGATTTTTCGTCAGAAGCAATTAACTTGTGTAAGACATAATACCCTTCCATTTTCTTTAATGTTCATTTGATTCTTCCTTTTATCTTTGTTGGTTTTTACTAAGTCAATACAAATGGTGTTCATACGTGCCTTGAGTTTTCTCATGATTTCATTAAGATGCACAACGAGTCCACATAAGCCATAATCGCTACATATGTTGCCTTCATGTTTAGGTGCTTTGTTTTCTACCAGTCACAAAAGCTTATCTTGTTGTTTACCAGGGCTTCGGATTGAAGCAGTAGATATAAGATCAGTAGATATAAGATCATCTAAATTCTGATTGTGGGCTAATTTAACTTAATGAAATTGGGTTTAAGCGGTAGATCTAAGATCAATAGATTTAAGATCATTTAAATTCTGATTGTGGGTTGATTTTAACTTAGTTTTCATGTATTGTGTTAATTTGTAGATTGTAAAAGTTAAGGTAGGTAATTTTGAAAAAATTTATGTTTCGTATTGGTTAACATAAGAAAACCAATCAAAAAAATATTCTTTAAAAATATCTAATAAAAATTTAATTTACCATTAATATGTAAATTTGTAAAGTATTATGTGCAACAAGAAGACATTGAAATTAATTGAAAGTTAATTAAGTAATAAGTTATTATATGAAATAAAAGAAACATAAATCAGGCGATAAAAATACTACAAAAAAAATGAGTCAAAAGAGTGGTAAAAAATTATTTAAAAAAAAGTATTTGTGAAAAACATTTTGAACAAACAAAAAATAAAATATAATAATTAAACTTGATGCGATAAAAATACTAATTTAATAAATATAAATATTTTGTTGTAAAAAATATGTGTAGAAAATTTAATTGAAAATAAATAGTGGCATTTTGGTTGCTCCATAAAATGTGGGTAAGTGTGTTTTAAAAATTTTACAAATACAAGATATAATTATAGACTGAACTAGGGCCGGCTGTGCGTGCACAGCCGAGTCCAATCTAGTAATATAAATAAAAGAACTTCACTTTTGTTCCATATGCTTGCAAGAATACTTTTTCAATATATTATTTTTGAAATCATTACAAAATAAATATTTCAGTGGCTAATTTTTTTTTATTTTTAATTTGTTATTATCAAATAAATAGTCTACTAAAAGAAGTGCAGAATACGAAGAAAGCAAAATAATGGAGGTTGGTAATTTAAAGATTTTTTTTTTCCTTTTTAATTATTATTTATTTTTGGAATGGAAATTATATGTAGTGTCGGCAGGGGCCCGAAAAGAGAAGAATTGTTTTGTGATTTTAGCAAAAACTGTCACCACAATTTTTTGTCTTCAAGTCCATTATTTTATTCTCTTAATTTTTAAAGAGATTTGTTAGATATTGACAAGTTCCTAACTATGTTTTTAAAATCATGACCAACATTTTTTGTTAGTTTCACTTGACCTAGAAATTTAATTTACTTATGGGGCCTCGATTTGAATGTTATAACGAGTTTGTACTTTAAGTTAAAACGCTTATTTCATATAAAAATGTATTTACTCTAAATATGAATATCGATATGTGTACTATTAAGTTCTTAAAAACTTATAATCCATATCACCGTCAAACTTAAAAAAAAAAATCATGTATTTGTAATTTTATGTTCAACATTTGTTGTTTATGGAAAAATAAGTTTTTTTTTTTTTTGTTGAAATATTGATTTAAATTGAACTTTTACAGTACATCGCATAACATTTTTGTTGATAAGAGATTATGAAAACATTTTTTAAGAGTAAAACAAATAAATTTTTAAAACAATGTGATTACATACAAAAAAAAAAGTAAAAAAATTCAATATTAAAAAATATAACAACTCAACTAAATACTGAATTTTATAAATCACTAAATCGATTTACAATTAAGAGACGAAAAGAATTTATTATTATTAATATTTCAAAAATTTATCTAAAAATGTAAAATATACAGTTTGTTAATACATTTTTTCAATAAATAAATAATATTATAAATGTAAATTAAAGTAGCATAGAAAATAAGTTTTAATTATTAATATATTTTTAATATTTTTAAAATTTCTATACATATAAACATTTTATAGTATTATCTTCACACACACACA